CGAATGTTTCATACACACCATGATATACATATCAACTTGTCTATAAAAATAAATCAATAAAATTAAGAGAGCATACTGGTTGAAATAAGTTCCTCAAGGGAAAGAAGCGAAAATAAATAGGTATTATTGTCCGTAGCGTTTGGAGTTAGCAATACTAAGAGCATGAACTCAAAGTTCATCATTCTTCTTTCACACTTCCGCAGACCTGTGATCTGTGTATGTATTCACCTACATGTCAGACTTTACACGTACCTTAGATGTTTCAAAAGCAAAAAGTTGATCACGTTATATGCATGACATTCTACATTGTTGCTTGAATTCATCCAAAAAGATGTATACTATTAAACTTTACAATGTTAACATTTGTAACTCATCATGTCTAAGGCAATGATAACTCAAATCAAATATAGATGTATAGATACATATTTGATTCTCTAATTGATTGGTACAAATTAAAATATATAATCTCGTAGTTGAATATGGTTATTAATATTTGTGTACTTAGTTTTGGCATTTAGTCTTATATGCCATTGCACGTTTCACATAATTTGTACTCTTTAAATGTCATGTACACATTTTCATATATGAACAATATATGAAGATATAGATCAATACATACAAGCAAGATTAATTTCAATAATATGCAAAATAAATATAAAATTTGAGTTAAAAAAAATGAAGAAAAGATCCAAAAAGTTTAAGTTTATATTCTTTTAAAACCAAAACATATGAAAAAAATTATTTTGCTCACAAAGTGATTTTTTGCATAAAAGTGGACAGTTTAAAATATAGGAAATATACTAATTCAAAACGTGTATGTTATGCATACACATATCAAATCATATTACAATAATGTTCATCTATCAATACAAGTGTATCACAATTATCTAGATTCAAATGGCTATGATTATTTGTGCCTTTAACATCAAGTAATCATCTATCATAACTCGTAAATCCAGTATTTATTAAGTTCATAATATAATATATCATTTGTGGATCTAATATCAAAAATTTGAATGCCATAATGTTTCATTTATACTTGTATTCTGCCATATACATCATAAAATAATATAACTAGCTTAACTATCACTTTTCAATCTTCACCTCATTAAAAAAATAGTTTAAATATATCATATAAATCATATTCAAAGAAAAATAACAAATCAACATACTGCTTCACAAGCTTCTTCTTTTCTTTTTTTTTTTCAAATCTGAATACATCATTATCATATTTGAATTTATGAAATCATCAATTCGTAGTTAATGAGATGATGCAAAAATACTCACATTATTATTCCAATAACATCACAAGTTTTTGAAAAGATAAAATGCCACTTGTTTGTAAATTATGCAACAAAATTAATATCCAAATTGATACATAGGCTTTGTTGTATAAATTTTATGACTAGCTTGACATCCATTTGAATGGATAAATTCTTTTAAAGATTATTGTAATCACTACCATGGCATTTTTGAATTCAAGATCAGTAAGATTTTTAGCAGAAAGAATGCTTAATAAGAATTGCTGAAGTTAGGCTCAAAAATTTATATATTGAACAATAGCCAGATTTCAAATAACAAAAACAGTATTTCATCAAAAAATCTGTCATTTGATAAGAGATTTTTAACAAAAATGTAAGTTTGTTATATTGTGTTTTATAAATAGAAATTATTTAAAAATTATATATAAAGTAAACTCAAAAATTATATATAAAGTATGTTGTAAAACACACAAGATTTGTAAGTAAATCAAATGAATATACCATAATTAATCATGATCACATGATATCTTCCAATTTATCCTTTTTTCATCCTTCAAATCATTATTTTTTTATATTATTGTACTGTTTGAATCATCAATGTATATATGATCTCTTATACTCATACAATAATCGATTAACGTTGAATCCAACAAAGTCCAAAAGTAAGTTTTTAAAAAATGTCACTGATTAATCAACATCTTTGATGATGTATAAAATCAAGTAAGAAAAAATTTATTTTGTAGTGAGTTCAATCAAATTGTCAAGAAATGCTATCAACCAAAATTTATCTAAAAAATAATTATCAAAACACATTATGTAAGCCAACTAATGTTTCTGTTATTACTTCATCGAGTAAAAGTTATTTATACAATGTTCTTACAACTCTGATAAAATCATTAGACCGCTTACAATTTTTCTCTTGTGCTGGTTTAAAACAGTGAGTAAATTGAAGCAATTTTTAATGCAGATTTATTTTCAAAAGTTGTTAAAAATTGTTAAGAATAAATATAAAGGAAATAACACACTAGAATAGTTTTTGCCACAAATCTATTTCAAGTAATTTTTTTTGAAAGACAAGGTTTTGATGTTTACACATATTTGTAAGAATTATTAAACAAAAATATTGAAGCGACAGTTAGAATTACTGATAAATCTTGTGCAGATGAATTTACACATTACTATGTGATGTGAGTGAATATTAATCAAGAAACCAAGAAAAAGATTTTAAAAGTATGAGAAGGTCAGATTTCAATTCTTGTAAATGAAATTTTATGTAAAATGAAAAAATTATAACAATATATACATATAGTAAATTTTTTTTAAAATTAAAAAATTCCATAATTAATTGAAAATTTAATTATTTTACTAATTTCAAAATTAAAAATATTCATCATATGTGAAATGTGATATATTTAATTTTATGGAAAAAAATTAAATAAAAAATTTATGCGTTTAATTTAAATACAAAAATTTATGTACTATTTTCAAAAAATAGCAAAAATTATAATTTAACCATTTTCTTCTGACATTTGAAGATAGAATGATTGCGGAGATGTGTGTGATCTAAGTATTTCCAAAGATTTGATTTAGATATCAGAATTCATAAAACTAAGAATTATTTGAGGATTGGAATTTTGTATATGAATATTTTAAAATTAAAAGTATATATGAAATCAAATTTTCTAGAATAAATTGATTATTATGAATTTGATATACTACTATAAACTTTGTTTCAAAGAATCGATTTATGAATATTTTCAGTAGATTGATTTATGAATGATGAATTTCATATGTATATTAAACCCTGAAATAGAAGACATCAAATGAAATTAAATCAGCCAAGCAAAACAGTTGCTATGCCCTGGAAGGGCTTTTGCCATCAAGACCTAGGGGCCGTAGGGCAAGCACATACAATTGCTCGGACAATTTGGGCTATATCCGGGGCTTTAATGGTAAACAAAAACAATTAATAAAAAAGTTGGTTCACATTTGCATGATTGATGGGAAAAAAACGAGATCTCGTGCTATTGTTTATAAAACGTTTCATCGTCTAGCTCCTCACGGCGATGTAATAAAACTTTTGGTTAACGCCATAGAAAATGTCAACCCTATTTGTGAAGTGAAAAAAGTAAGAATCTCAGGGACTACTCGATTAGTACCTTCTATTATAGCAACAAATCGTCAAGAAATCGTAACCAGTTCGAGCAAAGGAAGAATGCAAGTCACAAACCTAGTAATAAAAGAAATCCACCAAAAAAGCACATCATATTATAAGAAAAGGGATGTGACAAACGTGGAACATATGGCATCAAACGGGACATGATAATTTAGAAGGAAAGCAAAACTATGCACCAGAAGACCACAGAAGGGCCAGTCAAAGTCCCGCGAGCCGAACAGCGCAACCGAGCAGAATAAATGCGGCCAGGGCCCGGGAATCAAGGCAAACCGCCACCAACGAACTCTAGCACGCCGAGCTACAGCGTCGAGGAGGCTCGGAGGGCAGGAACCCGAGCACGATGGACGTGGACCCGAACCGTGCGATGGAAGGCAGAGGGCAGTGCCGGACCGGCCGACGGCGCGGCCGTGACGCGGTCAACGGAAGGAACAATACCATCCATCCTCCGCCGGCACCGAACGAACGACACGGAACCGGCACTCGGGAAGGGACAGGACGACGGGACCTCCCATAATAAATGAAGCTGTAATTCTTCCATGCTATGGTATTCAGCTTGTGTGTGCTTTACAAATAATGGTGGTAGAAATAAGATTCGACATTGCACTGCACGATGTACATTTACTCCTTTAGAATTTACAACTATAGACAAGTGTTCTGAGTTTATGTGAAATCCCATCATGGAAGTACATAGTTATTAGTATAACTGGAATTTCATAGTATATTCTTATGAATGATATTTTATAATGCAATTAGAACAATACTTGAAAATGCAATTGCATAATGAATTGCAATTTTAAACAAATTAATAAGGCGGAGAGTATGAAGAGAACTGTAATTTTCCTGGTGCAGGGTTGGAGTTGGTCAAGATGAAGGCTTGCTCGTAATCAATATGTGGTTTTATATATACACATTTGTTTCGATCGAGATGAAGTGTTTCATCTGCATTTCATCCACATGGACCGACCGAGCGTCGAGAGTCTCGTCCGTCGCCGGCCGTCCGTCCGCCCCGCCCTGCGACCACTCATTCGCCGTCGGACAGGTCGCTCTGCTCATTCCCGTCGCAGTGCTCGCATCATGCCGTTATCCACAAAGAACGGCCCCGAGCAGAGCTTCCGTTCCCATTCTCGAGTACCCTGAAAGCTCCGTCCCGAGAGTGACGTCCGCAGAGTCGCTGCCTGGGGACGACAGACTGTGGCCATCCAAGGCAAAAGGCGAAGTCGCGATCCCGAATTCGAGATCCGACTACCGGCGCCAGAAAGTGCAGTTCTAGGTGCGCAGCGAAGGCCCGAAATGGAATCGCGAAAAGGGGATTCGTGTGCCCGAACGAAGAGGAGAACAGCAGCAAGGAAGGAAGGAAGGAAGGAAGGGAGGAGGGGGCTGGGTGGGGATGAGGACAAGGGCCAGGGGCGCTAAATGCGGAGGACGGGGGACGGGCAGCAGCCGGTGGCGAGGGCTATCGGTGGGGAATGCGCCCGCCCGGGGAGTGAGGCGCAGGAGGCCGAGCTAGGTGCAGCTCGGCGATGGGCGAAGGAGGAGGAGGCTGGAGCTGCTGCTGCTGCTGCATCCGCATCTGCTCCGGTGCTGCTGCTGCAGAGGCAGGGCAGGGCGGAGGGCCGAAGGGGCGACGAGGTTGTTGCTGAGCTTCATGAGCGAGTTCTTGTGGTGGCCGCGGTGGACTCTCGCTCGACCGGCGGGGCGACGGCAGGGCGAGCAGCAGGGAGTGAGAGAGGAGATTCTCTCTTCTCTGTGATCTCTCCCCGCAGGCGAGCGCAGCGCAGGCGAGCGGGGCGTGCGTGGTGAATCGGAAGCATGGATTGCTCGACTTTCGATGTAGAAAGCGGAAAATCAGTCACGAGGGCGGCTTCTTTCCACGTTCGGAAACTCGAATGAAAAAGATTCTTCGTCGCTCGCAGGGTACAGGTGAACTGTCGAAAGCCCCGGCCGACAGCTCCGTTGCGTTTCGCAATTGGCCTGTTTAGGATTGTGTGCTTTTGCGGGCTGACCGCATGCTGCTCGCTGTCCCAGGCGTCAGACAGCACTCGAGACCAAGTGAGCTTTATCGTGTGCTTTTATTTGGCCGTTTTGTCGTGCAAGAACCACTGCCGTGCAGCACTTCAGATTTCTGTTCACGTATAAATTGAACGCGGCTTCTGGTCTCTGCACTCAGCGCAGTCCTTTGGCTTTCTTCAAACTTTCGTCGTGTCTGGTCGATGAGGCAAGCGATTTCGCGACTTACGCATTGTGAGGCATTCGGAGTTTGTTCTTGAGTGAGTCACTCCTTCACAGCGTGGGGAAAAGATCCGAGTGTCGAGAAATCTCTGGGCGGATTGCTGGGCAAGGACGTGAACGAAGATTGGTTAGTCGGTTGAGCGATTCTACGCAGTCGGTGGAGAAAATGCCATGCCCATCCTTCCCGGTGTCGATTTGGGAAGACGAGTATGGAGAATGTGGAGGCTGTGAGTCCAGTCATGTCAAGGTTCCCATTTCATCAGCTGGGGACCTCCGGGCCTCCAGTGAGCTGCAGATGGTGGCAGCTGTGAAGCTATTGCTTCAAGGCATTGGAGAGGATGCCGAACGAGAGGGTATATTGAAGACTCCTCTGCGTGTGGCCAAGGCATTTCAAAGCTTCTTTTCAGGTGACAAGCTGCTCTCTTTGTGGGGCATGTCTGGGCATGCCACAAGCGGGTTCTGCTTTGAATCCTAGTGATCTTTTATGATGAATCTCGACCAGAAGAGATGCAATTCTTAGGGTTCTGGGGCGTAGATTTTCGGACCTGGTTTGCTGTTGATGGTCTCGTTTTTTTGGCTGATTGCCCATCTTCGTGAATTCTCAGTGGAGACTAGATAAGCCTCAATTTTTTTTGATGGATTCTTCATCTCTTACTTCGGTGTAAGACATGCAGCTGTTTTCACTTCGCCAATGTCTAATTCACCTTTGCGTACTCACGGTGATACGTCTTCGCTTCCGCACTCTATCCTTTCCACTCGTCTTGAAATGACCACGTCTGTCCTTGGGCCGTGATATGGGCCAATCTTACACGATCTGCAGTGAAGGGTGCACAATTGACGGTGAGTTCGTGGTACTTAAGGCTTCCCCGGAATCCGAGAGGATGTCGAACTCCAACTGTCCATCTTGCATGTCTTTACTAGCAGCTGAAGTCTTGTTCTTACACGCCTGAGTCTGAGAAAAAGTTCGAGTGTATTTTGGCCATATCCACTGGCAGCTGCGTATGATGTTTTTATCCATCTGTTGGGTCGTTGTCTCTGGGGCATGTGTTTTTCCTCTGGCGTCAAAAGCGAGACAACAGGGCTTTGAAGGAGAGGTTTGGATCTCTCCGTCGCTCTCACACTTGTTGCCTTCTGTGGCTAACCACAGAAGCATCGCCTGTTGTCTTCCAAGTCTATGGCGGTTCTTATGAAACATACTTTGCATCCACTTTGCACTGTCGTCGTCCCTACCCGTACTAAGGACACTTTAGAGGTACATGCATTAAAGAATATTCTATCTAATGAGGATGTTGTACGACTTTCAGGCTACGAGCTCACGGCAGAGGGAATCATTGGAGGAGCTCTTTTTACTGAAGCTGGTACCGATGGCGGGACTGGAGGGGGCTCAGGAGGGATGGTGGTTGTTCGCAAAATCGACGCATTCGCTTTGTGTGACACATGCTTTTTACCTTTCAGGATCAGGTGTCATGTTGCTTACATTCCGTTTGGCCAGCGCGTGGTCGGCCTGAGCAAACTTCCTCGAGTCGTGAACATGCTATCGAGGAGGTTACAAAATCCACAGAAGCTGGCAAACGAACTGGTCCAAGCTTTGTACGACACGTTCGAGCCTCTCGGGGTTGCTGCTGTCGTTGAGAGCTGGCATCTGGAGTGGCCTGGTGCGTGTGATAGAATTGGGGGCTCAGTTGGAAATTACGCCGAGGAGAGGCTTGGATTCGGGTGGGTTCCCACGACCGTCTATGCAGCTCGTGGAAAATTGGAGAATGTGCAATCTTGTTTGTGGGACGAGTTCCTGGCAATTGTGGGTGTAGATGGGGTCGAGATTCGGAAGCCGACTGTTGGGACCACCAATGCATGTCCTTCGAAAGACAAGTCTTGTCCCTTTTTCGCATTCTCTGGGAAAGCGGAGGGCCGTGCCTCCGTCGGGGCTATAGCTCTAGCCATTGAATCCCTCGTGCGTGCAGAGGGGGAGCATCTCAACCGAGAAGAACTTCATTTGACGGCCTCGCGGTACGTAAACTGGCTTCTGTCTGCCACTCAGGGAAGCAACCAGAAACTGCTCAATGGCACCGTTGTAGAAATTGATTTGAAAGGCAGCGTGAATGGCTCTGTGGTGCACAGCAATGGCAATGGTTGCAGTCACAGCAGTGGCATTACTTATGGAGTCACTAATGGCAGCGCTCATGGGCATAGCAATGGAACTGCCAACGGGCTCAGCAATGGAACCGGCAATGGCTTTAGCAATGGAATCAATCATGGGGTCAACAACGGAGCTATCAATGGTTACAGTAACGGAACCAACCATGGAGCGAGCAATGGAGCCGCGAATGGTCACAGTAATGGCAGCAACCTTGGTGTCAGCAATGGTGCCGCCAATGGAGTTCAGAGCATTGCTGAACAACTCAACAGTAGTTTATTTTTGGGGAAGACTCCCTCGCCTGGATTTGACGAGCACCCGGATGTTCTGTTCTCCTTGGAGCTCGACTTGCCTTTTTCTTCTCTTTGTGAGCACCATCTGCTCCCCTTCTTCGGAGTGGCCCACTTAGGCTACGTGGGAGGAAAGGAGTCATTGGAGAGGTCGCTGGTTTTGAAGATTGTGCGGATGTTTAGCAGAAGACTGCAAGTCCAGGAAAGGCTCACTCGGCAGATCGCCGAGGCGATCGCTTCGTTAGCTGACTTCAAATGGATCATGGTTGTCGTTGAAGCCAACCACATGTGTATAATGTCAAGAGGGGTGGAAAAATTAGGCAGCAATACCGCCACGGTCGCTTCCATTGGCCAGTGTGCTAATGACGGAGCGATACGGGCTCGCTTTTTGAAACAAATCTCCAGGACAGCTACGAAGAGGACTTGCTGATAACTTTGCTTCAAACCTTGCTTATACCATTCGTACCTTCTCATCGTTAGTTGTTGCTTCTATCAAGGGTAGCCTGTAGATGCAACGCCTAGTCAGTGTTTCTCTTAAGAGAAGTCATCCCGATATTTTTTACCGCGCAATGTTTAGAGTCCTCCTTGTCGTGAGCTTCACCAATCATCCTGACTAGGGTGGTTGTCTTTCTTGCAATGCACTCCTTTTAAATCGTAACACTAGGTGGATCTGCGTTGCCAGGAAGCTTACCTCTTCAAGTCATGGCTGTACCATAGTCAGCATTATTCCCCGTAGACGGACGCAAGTCCTGACATTCATCATCTGTATCCAATAAATTTACACCTGGATCGGTGCAGAAGCGCAAGCAAATTTTTCTTCTCCCGTAGAAGGTACTGGCCATTTCACGTATTCTCGAGTCATCATTCTTCCAGGTACACGCCAAGTAATAGGTGCTGAAATTGAGTGCATCATACGATGCACTGAATGTTTCTCTTTCTGTTTCCTTGACCAATTATAAAATTTCCATATTACTGATAAGGGATTGTTAGCTCTTTCTTCTCCGTGTCAAGTGGAAGGTAAATCTTTCATCCGAAGGGGTTATTTCGGTGCATCGTCTTGAAGTAATCATCTCTCACATCGTCATTCTGCTTGTTGCGCATTCTTTCCTGTAATCCTGAGATGAGGAGTTTTCTGGTTGTGAAGCAAGTCAAGCTCAGCCCAGGCACTCACTTTCAGAAATCGACAACGTGACTAGTAATTTCAGTGCCTGTTTGTGAAGAAACGCACTGTATGGAGGTGTCGTATTCCACTCTGTTTAAGGTTGGGCTTCTTAAACTCAAGGCACAATGGCTTTCGTATCTTGTTGGGGCGTGTCACTAATGCCGAAGCAAGCAGTGCACATGGTTCATAATTCATTATCCACACAGGAAGATTCATTAGCATGGTTCAAGATTCTACCATACATGAACGCACACGGGTCGGAATGATCCGACCTGCAAGCAACATTCCTCTCACTCTGCAGTAGGGTCCCATTTTAAATATCTCCAAACGTGCGTCTGATGAAAACACATCCACATGGCACAAACCAGAAACACGCCGGAAGAGGTCCAACTCGGTGTCAAAATGAAAAAGGAGAGAGTTGATACCCCTGGGAATACATGACTCATCTCCTGCACAGAGATTGTAAGTGCGGGTGACAACCTAAGAACAAAAATCCCCAATCAAAACTCTATTTTTCGTCGCTATGGCATTGTAGCAGATCTTAAAGCACACTGTAATGGAATGTATATATACGGAATAGATATAATGGATGTGCGAAATACTGGATGCATTGATACAGAGATAAATGTACACAGTATTACCAAATAGGTTATAGTCTCGAAGTCTCTACGATGGTCTCTGATTGGAGTTCACAGCGTCTCACGCAAAACGTGTGTCTTATCCTATTATCGAATCTCCACAGTTCATTTTCTTCACAAACTCATGACAGTTTCAGTGCCGCCTTTGTGATCTTCCAGGTTGGCATCGGGGATCACGCAACCCGCAACACGAACCATGACAGCTGCGCACGACTTCATGGAAAACACGGATCGGGACACAAACTTCAAGTACGTTGGTCGACAGAGGAGCGGAGAAGGAGTGCATGGGCAATGTCGTATGCACCCGTGCCCTTCGCCAACAAAATCCACGTCAGAACAATCCTCCACAAGCCTTTCCTCGTAGCTAAACAGTCAGCAGTCGGCTACTCGTTTCGACCCCAATGTTCTCGGAGAATGCGAGCCGACGAATTTATAAATCGCCGTCTTCTTGCGACAGTACGGAGGAAGAGGCAATCGTTTCTAAGAGTTAGAGAGAAAGAGCTCAGAGCCTTTTATCACTCACTCACTCACTCCTCCAAACGACTTGCTTCGAATCATCGACACGAGTAAGTCATGCAGTTTCGGTAACTGTTATCATTATTGAGAGCATAAGATTTCGACCTCGACGCTAATCGCGTTGCACTGTCAGTCACAAGTGCTTCGAGTGCATCCCGCACAGCCATACAGACGAGTCCGACAGCTCTTGCGACGACGGGTTTCGTCGCGCGCCGTATGTCGCGGGTCGCGGGTTGCAGAGTAGCTCCTCTACTGCGCCTTTTTCCTTTGTTTCGCCCTTCTTCGCAAGACCAGTTGTTCATTCTCCTTTTCTTCATTCCTTTTCTTCTTTTCTTTTTTTATTTTATTCCCTTTTTCCTTTTCTTACAATTTAAGATTTTTTCCCCATTAGGGAGGTTAACTTCATAAGCTATCGCTGCCTAACTGTGACACATCGAGGTCACGACACGTGGTTTTGTGTCTCTACATGACATAGGAACCAGAAATATGCTTATGAAATCTGATGCGACATGAAATACACTAAAATACATGTTTGATTCTTACTATGTTTTGATTAAATACCGAGACCTAAGAACATAATGAAATTTAATTCCAATTTTAGGCAGATGCATGTGCATATGCAAAATATGCGATAATGATGAATGATGAATTTCATGACAGATGAGCATGTTTTATTGGTAAGAGATTAAAAATGAACATATCTGAAGAAACCCTTCAGATATCTAGCTTACTGCTAAGTGTAAAGATTGAAAACAGATGGATGTATCTCATAATTTAGATGAGTAACAACATGTCTTGATCACCCTGAAGTTTTTTATTTATAATTAAGTAAGCAAACATGTCTCACCGTGACAAAAAGTATATGATAATATATCTTTAGAAGTTGACACTAGTGATCAGAATTTTGATATAACTGATTGGAGTAATTAAATGTGTGCTAGTGATCAAAGTTAAAAACTACTATTGTAAATTTCCAAGTCAATAAAATTTTGGTAGCCTACAAGTTTGAATGTTCTTCAAAAATATTTTCGTTACAATTTTTCAAAAAATATTATCTTTGAACATATTTTCATAATCAACACATTGAACTTTAGTCTATAAAAAAATATAGTTTTGATAAAATATACAGAAGAATCCATGTATGTAATTTTTTTCAGCTTAACATGAATAGAAGTAGATATAATTTCATTACCGTAAATGATAACTTATCAATAATATGCAGTATGAGTATCATCTATAGCTTATTAACATGATTTTCATACTATTTATGTACATTTGGAATCTGTTTTATTTATAGCTAACTCGTAATAGTACTGAGACAAATTATGATAAGTGTCAATACAAAACTAACACTTTCTCTCTTTTCATAATTCACTTAATTGCTCGACTATCGAAATAGTTTCAAAATTTGATCTTTATGAAAACCAATAGTAACGACATATCTTGTTATAATCACACATTCTACACAATACTCTATTATAGGTTGTACCTAATGCAAAGTTCACTAATAAATCAAGATCGAGAATACTTAACGTTAAAGGCTTTCACAAGAATTATCCAATAGTCAATAAATCTGCCAAAGAAACCCAAAGGAATACCAACGAGAGTTTTCAAAAGATGAAAGAAAAAAAAATTACTTGATGAAATTTATATGAGGAGCAAAACATGAGAACCCAACATGATTCATGTCACAGGATGAGACCCTAGCGACGTCCCTACAATTCATCCTCGCCCATGTTACATGCCAATTTTGGGTTAGGTACAACACACCGTAGACTAGATACCAATTTGCGGCTTGTAACTAACCGGCTAACATAAAACAAAGTTTTGAGCAAGGGAGTTCCTAATATGACCGCAAACTCTCTCGGTGAAAGTTTGAAACTTCAAAACTCATCACCGAGCCACACACAAACGCGATTTTTTGAAATCAAAGATTTCTTGAAACAAAATCTGTGCATAGAAAGACGAGCTACCATTTCGGTAGTTGCAACGAGCTTCTTCAACTATGAAAACAACAATAAATAACCAAATGAGATAAAGAATATAATTTGAGCTTCAATTTATGAATGTCAAGTTATTCTTTTACAATTTTTATTAACTAATGGGTTGTTCTGAATTGTATTTCATCACAATAATATTATATATGAATTTGAAGTGTCACGGTAGAAAACTTAAGCCTTGAGAATACTTTGGCCCAATAGTTGTAGTCGCTCGCCTCACTATAGCAGTCAACTATCTGGTTCCAAGAATTGATATCCTAAGATGGAATGCAGAATCGTCGCGGAATGTTGCATGCGGTCAAATGAATCGTGTTGTGTATAGCAAATGTTTTGTGAGAGCTACATCAAATAATTTTCTCAAAGAGAAGGTAATGGTGCGAATTTGGAGACCTAAAAGAGCGAAGAAGTATCACGAGCATGAGAAAGCCGCAAAAGCGGGATGAATACGGCCCGAGAACCGTACACCAAAAGTAGCGCGCCGCAAGGCTGGGCGCTTACGTACATACAGAGCGTACGTACAGGAGCGGGGTGGTAGTAGAGAGCGCAAGGAAGAGGAACATGGAGCATGTGCAGCTTGGCTTTGCTTACTCAAAGCGGACTCCGTTCTGAGCTCGTGATCTGCTCGCGGGCCCCGACGATGAACAAGATGCTGCCCCGGCTGCGCACTCCTCCGATCATGCCCACCGTCGTCGTCGTCGTCCGAGCTCAAGCGCAAGCGCAAGCAGCGGAGGGCCGAGGCCGAGGCGCGCTCGTGATTTCTGGTTGACGTCGATCACGCTTCCGGGCGAAAGCACAGGAATCGGCGACCGAATGCGTGGAATTTTTCAAAGTGGCCGATATGCGTATGAATTCGCTGCCGCTAGGCGGGAGATGCCCCGGGTGGGTTCTGGGATGCGCAGGTGCTCAATTCGACGTGGCTTCATGAAGGCAGGATGAGGTTCGGCCCGTAGGTAGGTAGATGGTTAGATTTCGGCACGGATTCGGAGGGCAAGATTCCAGAGCAGGTGTGAGGAGCAGGTCCGAGGGGGAATTGGAAAATGGGATGCAGGTGGCCGCGGCCTTCTGGGTGTAGGGTCTTTGGAGGGCTCGGATTATCGTGGCTTTAACGAGGTTGCTGGAAGGAGCACCCGCTGACAGTGGCCGAAAGGGTGCTATGATCGTGTTCGATCTGGATTCAGAGGTTTGCGTGCTGTGTCTCCGTGTCTGAGTCGCTTTAGAGAATTCGAGCCGGGTTCTTGGCCAGGAAGCACCACCATGGCGGACGACAAGGAACTGCGCGCCTGGGTTTCGGACCAGCTACACGCTCTGCTGGGCTACTCTCTGCCCCCCGTTGTTTCCTTCGTCTTAGGTCTTGGTGAGTGTCTCCCCGACCTAAATGTTTCATCAGCTCTTCTACACGCAGATTGTCCGGCCCATGACACCTTTCTGGCTCCGCAACGGGTCGTGAACGCCCCTCGATGCTCGGCCGGAAATTGAACGTTGATCGCATGAATGAAGATGAACTTATCTCGAACGTGGCGGTCACTTGTTATCTGGACTGTTTTTGTTTCTTCTGCTTCTAATTCTGCACTCAGAAAGCTGTAATTTTTTACTTAAAAATACAATACTCCTAACCTACTACAATACTTTTTCTTCAAATACACTACTTCTAATCTCCTAAATAGTGTACTTTTCAACACTGAACATAATTTCTGTTAAACCTTCATTGCTTGATGAGAACATACCTCCTTCGTGGACTGAACTGTTTAAAGTGAATGCTGTAAGTTCATGTTAGTGTCAGAATGCATACTAACCTAGAGCAAGCTATTCTTTCTCTTCCAGTAAAGTGCGCTCTCTTAGCCTTCTGTAGTGAACTGTAGTGAACGGTGGACTTGGACATTCTCTTTTAGATTTTGTTTTTCAACGCTGAAATTGTTTTATCTCCATGGAGGAAAATTGAAGATAGTTTTAAGGTGGTTAGCCAACACCTATCCTACCTTGTTCCTCGCTGCGATTGTCTAAAGTGGACTAGGTCCTTGTCTACATGATGGAAGAGCGCACTGATACAACTCTGTGAATAAAAAACTGTGGATACTTCTGCAAAAGTGGTCATTTCAGCATACATTCTATGTTTTCGTGCCTGACTATAAGTTCAAATTAGGGAAGAATTTAATATACTTTTTTGTTTAGAAGCCGTCCCGGATTCAAATTTCTCTATTACCGTATGTGTTGGATTCTTGTGGGATCAAGGTCAAGCCCAACGTTCTCTATTTATCCAACTTGGAAGTTTTTTCAAGCTCGTCTCAAGCGTAAATCTATCATATTCGTTAGTTCTACTTCCTTGATGAATTCTTTTAGTATCTTTTGAAATTTATTGTGGTGTGGACCTGCATTGAATAGTGATCTGTGGTTTGAGAAGGTTGTGAGACTTGAGCTTTCATTCAAGCACTAGTGGACCCTAAGGAGACGCCTAAGGAGAAGTGAACGTATTGTGTTCTTTGAATCTGAGTAGAACCTATTATCTGAGACAGTCTCCTCTTCTAGAATTTTCTTGACATTGCAACATTGGAAACTTGTGATGCATCGTAATTGTATACTTTCACAAAGTACTCATGATATATGATAGACAACCCCCACACTCTTGACTGATGGTTTAGATGTCTCCTCCAAAACTTTTTTGTTTTGGATTTGAGGTTTGTCAGTTCCTGAAGAGGCGTTTTCTCTCTAGAACTCGTATCCTCACGGATCGGTACTAGCTCTATTAGGTCATAGAGCTAAACGATGTCCTCGTCGACACCCGTAATAATCAAATGGACCTTCTTTTCGCGGACCTTTTGAAATAGTCCTCTCTTTCTTCTCTTCTTTTTTGAGCCCCCTCACTTCTATTTCTGTCGCGTTTTTCATTACTAGCACCGTTCAACGATTCTCTAGGCAGTTTTTCTTCAGGGTATGGCAGGCAGAGATCAGTGAGTGCGGGGTTACTCATTTGGTGTCAACGTTTACACCTCGGTCGGTGGTTACCCCTCTAGCAATGACTTTGCAAATTTGACTCATGACAAGTGTTGGTTTTACAGCGAAAAAATCCACTTCAGTCAGAGAGCTAATATCAGAGTTGCACGCCTATCTTCCGGACAAAAGCACTACCGACAGTTTTGCTCAAGATCTCTTTTCACGGATGCCGCGGAAGCAGCGAAGTTTGAATGTGAGTCTCCTCGATTGATATGTATCAGCAGTTTTTGAACCAAATTTAGGATGTAAATATCTATAGATCGTTGTATTTTTTTTTTTCTTTTTTTTTCTTGAAGAAGTTTCACATTTATTTTCTTCCTTTATGAGGAACACCTACGTGTGGTGTTAGCCAACTGAGTTTCCAGTTGAAGAGGCTACATCCATAAAGAGTTATGAGTGGAATCGACCTTGTAAGAATCGATCTCACATATGTTTCTTTTTGGTCGAGCTTGATTCCGAGGTGTAAGTAATGCACTATAATCCCAGCTTCGACTGTTGACTTCGAAATCTCGATTGTGCTTCTTAACTGCTTTCAGAATTACCAAAGAGCAGAAAAAGATGCGGCTGCCTATCTGAGGAAACAGCAAGATTATCAACTTTTAGACGCCGATGATGATGAGGAGACTGAACCTGTTCCTGTCGAAAGTGCTTCACGAAAAGAATCTAAAAGGAAGCACTTGCGGAAAAAAAGAGAGGTCTCAGATGTTGATGAGGATGATGAGGTAAGAGTTAAGAGCAAAACTTCACGAAATGTTGGATGTCGATCTAATGTGCTTTCAGTATGTAATGCTTGAGAAGACGCTTGTGGGCTTTTATCCTATTGTTATTGCTGTGGCCCGTGTTGGGTTTGTACCCAACCTTGTCTTAGAAGTACTACGTATCTATGTCCCCGTCGTTGTCCTTACCGAAAGCCTTTCCCCATTTACCTTAATTTCCGTACATTAATGCAGATCATCAGACCTGCTAAAAAAGGGCGTTCGAGTAGGACCTGGGAAGAGGAGGAGGATGAAGAAGAGGTAAGAAAGTTGTGTTATACGTACAGATGTTCCATGTTCGTGTTGGATATCAGGAACCTCTTGCAGAGCAGCCATGTATTTGAACGGATGTCAGGATATTGTGCACTATGCAGTGTTGTGTTTTGCACATTAAATGTCTGTTCTGCTACATGCTACTCTTGTCATAAACATTGCACAAATCAACATTCTAAGGAGCAAACGTTGGTAGGAAGCAGCTTTTCCGGAAAGATAATTTTCAAACACTCATTTTATTACTCATTGTAATATATAAATGTCGTGTGATGGATGCTTTCCGCGCAGGTAGCTATGGAGCGTGCCAGAGAGGAAGATTTGCGAGAGCGGGAAGATTTTGAAGCAAGACTCCGAGAGAGGGACGAAGCTGCCACGAAGAAAGTAAGTTTCCGAATCGTTGTAATCAAACATGGGCACAGCAGTCTATTTTCGATGTTTTTTCTGTAATTTTTCCTCTACTCAAAAGTATATTTGTTTCAAATGAACTTTTAGCATCCGCTTTTTTGGACCCGTACTTGAATGTGTTGCCGCCTATATCAGGTAAGCAACACAGTTGCCAAGCAGCAAGAGAGTGAACAGAACAAATTCTCACTGCAGCTCGCTTATCGTGGCAGCTAGTGAAGATTGCTGCTTAATGTTTACAACCGGGACTAGGCTGTTGGATGGACTCTTTTCACCAGTAAAATTGATATCTTTCCATCATTTATTTTCCTGAAATATGTGCCCAGCTTTATTGGCAAGGCCTCTCGATGTATTTTTGGACAGTTTTTACGTAATTAATCTGAGTATGACTGTTTTACTGCAGTTGATGGAGCCAAAGTTGTCACGGAGGCAAGAAGGTATGGATCATTCTGTCTTATTTCTTCTGTTCACTGCGATATGAGTTCTTTGAACGAAGTACCGTAGAGAGGAAAGTACATCCTTGCTTATCTTTTCTTGTCCTTAACTAATGTCAATTTTTTCAGGCCTTGGCCTATAATTGTAAATAACATGTTGCCAGACATGAATAGTAAAGGGTCTCATTATGCAGATAATATGGTATTGAAACCTAAGACTTGACTCAGCAAATTGCTCCATATTGCAGAGGAAGCAAAGAGACGGGCCGAAGCAGAAGAAGTGAAAGATCTTGTTCCAGTTATGAGGTACTGTAGGGATGTGGGCAGTCATTAGCTCGTAAATGCTTTGACGGCATGGAACACAGTGCTTCAGACGTTTACCTCGACTATGTTAGTGATATTCCATGTTTTTACATGAGATTATGCGTGAACATATTGTGCTTGAAGTCATCAGGTTTATCGATGAATTTAGGTTAGATAATCATCAAGGGTTCGAGGCGACAAGTGAAATTCGGCTGTCTCTTGGACAACATAGAGGACTGTCCACTTTTGAGCTGAGTTTGATTCATATTATTCTGCCCGCGTGAATTCCAGGGAAGCAGCTCGACAGTCATACTTGAAGCTGCGGAAGCAGAAGAAGTTGGACGAATTAAGGTATTTATGTGCTGTGCTCATGACCTTGCAGTTTTGGGATGTCAGCATCTGAATTTGCTGTTTTATTGCTTTTGTTTGTGCCGAAGAAGTCATACCTGATCATGTGTGGTTTTTTCAGGGATTCTCTAGAAGATGAAGCATACCTTTTTGATGGAGTGAAGTTAACTGCTAAGGAGGAGGAAGATATGAGGTACATAAATTCATCAGTCCCATGACACCGTTGGGTATCATTGAACTTTATATGTTTTCATAACCAACTTTATAAGGTGTCTTGTCTGTGGCAACCTATTTAAATCTCATTCTTCTTTCTCTGAAAATTATTTACCTTTGATAGTATTAGAGTGCCGTGTAACGTTCCAGTGCTATTTGATCTCATCCTTGGAACATGCGCACGTGTCTCCGTGGCCAAGGCGGGTTTCCTATCCCAGGTGCATACCTGACCACTGTCTTTTGTCAAACTCGTTTTGCAGGTTCAAGCGGAAGATGTACGAGCTCGCAAAGGAACGGGCTGAAGACGTTGACGCTATCCTTGGGGTAATACAATGAATCAAGTTATGTGGTCGACAAAAATCTGCAGTACAGAAAGAGTTGTTTGAGTCTCTTGTATTAGTGTTTCTGGTTCTTGCGCCAAAAACCTGCGTCTCATGCTGACATTATCTTACAGCTCTCATTTATATATTCTTGTACTCTAATTGAGTTTGCCACATTTGGGTGAGTTACATGTATGACGAGTTTTATCGTTGTATGTGCAGTATCAAATGCCTAAAGCTTATGACGACACTGACGGAAAAGTGAGACAAGACGAGCGTTTTGCGGTGGCCAACCAACGCTACAAGTACTTTACTGAACATAACCTTCTGAGTGGGTGTCTTACCTAATGTCGTTAATCGTGATGAACTGAGTTTTCAGTTTAGGGGGTTGAAGCTCTGAACCTTATATTCCAAAACTTTTTGCAGAGATGTCGGAGCTGATGATAAACTGAATCCGTTTGCTGAACAAGAGGCCTGGGAGAAGCATCAAATTGGTACTTTTCTAGATTTCCTGAAAGTGAACTTGTACAAGTTGTTACTTAGACTTGTTTTGTTCTACTCAGTTATAAGTCCAAAGTACTGCGATGCATGTCATAAACCTCCATTTTCAAGTGAAATGTCCTGAAACCTCGCAGATATCTCTTCAGTGAAACCTGCCAGCAACAGTTTGAAAAACATAAAAGGTTTAATGACTAAGATTTAAACTTGAATCAGAATCTCATTTCAATTTGATACTTTTCAGGAAAGGCAACAATGAAGTTTGGAGCCGCCGATAAGAAGAGTCAGGATGACTATGAGTACGTCTGTTTGTAATATCTGTACACGCATGTACCTTATTGAAGTAATGTTGAAGACTTGAATCGGAATGAAGGGATTTTCGTTGACATCAGGATATACATGCTGGGGACATCATTCAGCCTGGCTTCTTATTCTTGGAAACAGTCAATTATACACTGCTTTGACACGGCACATTGTATTCCAACAGATTTATCTTCGAAGATCAGATTCAGTTTATTCAAACTTCTATCCTGGATGGCATGAAGGTGTGCATTGCTTCTCTCACATGGACCCAGTGGTTTCGTTATTGCTCTTGTTGGGAGCGAAGTTCTTCACCAAGAAATTGATGTCTTATTTTATGTCATTGGGCCATTCTGTCTTATAAAAAAATAGATACAGATGTTCAACACAAGAATCGCTCGCAGGAAAGCATTGTGTTTCCAGGTCGCTCATGATCTATGTGGGTCATATTGTAGATCTCGGACTGACTTCTTGGATGTTGTGAAATTTATAATAATGTGTCGTAATTGTCCTACTTACAGGATGAAGAGGAGGAGAAGGAAGATGAAAAACAAATCAAAAAATTAGCTGCAAAGTCTGCGTTTGATAAACTACAGGTTGATATTTCTGTCTACTTTGCAGCTTCGAGATTAAGTTTGAAATCCGTAATATTTTGATATTCTCAGAGTAGACGGATTCATATTGCCTGCCAGTTCCAGTGCTCGGTGACGCTGTATCATTGAATCAACAACTCGGAAAAATGCTGAGAAAATGTGAAATTTGTGAATTACTTAGGATTTCAGCTGCTACTAACAGCAGTTTTTTACTTGTGATGAATGATTATTGTTTTGTAGGAAGATAGGAAGATGTTACCAATGTTTCCGTATAGGGAAGAGCTTCTCAAAGCAGTGGAGCAATACCAAGTAAGTTGTGGTTTGGTCGCATTCGGCAGGAATGAGTATTTGATTGGATATTGAGAAGATAGATGTGTGTAACCGCAGGGTTGATCTCACTAGACTGCTGTGCTCACCAGACCACGTATTCTCAACCCTGCTCCAGGTTTTGGTTATCGTGGGAGAAACAGGATCCGGAAAAACAACTCAAATCCCGCAGTATCTGCATGAGGCTGGGTACACCAAAAATGGAAAGGTGAGCATAGGAGTCATATATCAAGGATAAAATTTGAGAATTATGAGGATGAAGTTCTTTGTAACTTCTGATGATAGGAACCATTTAAGCAACTTCTTAAACTTTATTCCGACTAAGACTAAGCGTAGATACCGCGTTTGTTTCATAAGAAAGAATGTGTCCAGGTACATCCGTAGTTTTAGATTTGCTCACCAGTTAATTCACAGATTGGCTGCACACAACCTCGGCGAGTTGCTGCCATGAGCGTTTCTGCACGTGTTGCGGAAGAGATGGGTGTGAAGCTTGGACATGAGGTACGTCCATGTCGTCAAGGGTCAGGTCTGTTTGTTTTGATTTTTTTTTTTATTAAGATTTATCTTGCTGACGGTCATCTACAGAGAATCTCTAGGGACGGGTTAAAGAATGGGAAAAAACATCTCTACTTTCAAGATGTGATGGAGACTTCGCAATATCAGTATGCCTGCTGTGTTTTTAGATGGGGTATCATAGTTTGGTATGTCCCTGGATGTTAAAATATATGCCAGATGTACCTGGTCTACGGTGTTGTACCAATTTGACTCTGGAAGAAATAATTTCCTCTGGAGGCCTGAGAGGGAAGACGCAGTCAAAAACCTTTTGTTTTGACAGCTTTTTGGTTTTATGGGCGGTACTCCCGTTTCAGAGCGGTAAAGTACTTTACTATTTAAGATCAGTGCTCGTGGCGCTCTTAGAAGCCCCAAATTGTTTTCGGTCCATTCGCGGGCTTCGGATCCCATTTGCTCATTCATACATCCGGCGCAATCATTCCTGTACGTGCAGGTAGGATATTCTATTCGGTTTGAAGATTGTACATCGGAAAAAACTATTCTGAAGTACATGACAGATGGTATGCTGCTACGTGAGTTCCTCAGCGAACCTGATCTGGCAAGTTACAGGTGAGTGCCCTCATCTTCTGCTGATATCTCCTTTTGTCGGCGTTTCACGAATCGAAGTATTGTTTGGGTGCATATTTTTGCTAAGAGAGTCCTTCTGTTTGCTGAACAGTGTGATGATGGTCGATGAGGCTCACGAGCGGACAGTGTCCACCGATGTTTTATTTGGTTTAGTTAAGGTAAGATGCAAATTGTTCGGTGGTATCGGTGACAGTTGATCACTGCATGTGTGCTTTCAACCCAAGACTTAAGTAAATTTAATTTTGTGAGACTGCTACTTCCAAACGCTCAGGCGCAAACTTTTTGAGAATTCATTTCCTCTTGCTCTTAAAATTTGTCAACCCTCCAGGTTTTCCTGTTCAATAACGGAAGTGTTGTCATGATCTCATTTGTGAAGGATATAACACGATTTCGACCTGATATAAAGCTGCTGATTTCTAGTGCGACTCTGGACGCTGAGAAATTCTCAGCATATTTTGATGGGGCACCAATTTTTAGAATCCCTGGTCGTCGATACCCAGTCGACATCTTGTACACGAAAGCACCAGAAGCAGACTATCTAGAAGCTGCCGTAGTTACGGTGTTGCAGATTCATGTGACTATGCCTCCTGGAGATGTCCTAGTATTTTTTACCGGGCAAGAAGAAATCGAGGCGGCTGAAGAAATACTGAAAACCAGAACAAGAGGTCTAGGAACAAGGATTGGCGAAATGATTATATGCCCAATTTATGCCAATCTTCCATCTGATCTCCAGACTAAAATTTTTGAAGAAACTCCTGAAGGAGCTCGCAAAGTGGTGTTGGCAACTAATATTGCAGAAACCTCACTCACAATTGACGGTATCAAGTATGTAATTGACCCTGGATTTTGCAAACAGAAAAGTTACAATCCTCGAACTGGTATGGAATCTTTGATTGTAACGCCCGTTTCCAAAGCTGCAGCCCAGCAACGCACAGGAAGGGCTGGCAGAACATCACCTGGAAAATGCTTTAGACTGTATACGGCACACGCTTATCAAACTGAAATGGATGACAACACGGTTCCCGAGATTCAGCGAACCAATTTGGGAAACGTTGTTCTCATGTTGAAGAGCCTGGGAATCCATGATCTCATAAATTTTGACTTCATGGACCCACCGCCAGCGGAGACTTTACTAAGAGCATTGGAACAATTATACGCTCTCGGTGCCCTAAATGATCGCGGCGAGTTGACTAAAATGGGGCGAAGAATGGCTGAGTTTCCCTTGGATCCTATGCTTTCCAAGATGATAGTAGCTTCAGACAAGTTTAAGTGTGCCGAAGAAGTAGTCACAATCTGCTCCATGCTGACGGTCGGAAATTCTATATTCTACCGACCTAAGGACAAGCAGGTGCATGCTGACAATGCACGTATGAATTTCCACTCTGGCAATGTGGGTGACCATCTTGCACTATTAAAGGTCAGTGTACGGCCTTTCTCTTGGCTGGTTAGGCTCTGCTTCTATGAGACTTACTATTCCGTGTAGAGCAGCTTCCTCTGTTGAAGATTGCGTTGCAAATTATATCTGGCTAATGGGCAATCGCGAATCGCAGGTTTTTGATTCCTGGAAGGAAACTGACTTTTCTACTCAGTGGTGTTATGAGAATTACATTCAGGTGACCTGAGAAACCTCTGCCTTAGAGCATATCTTTTCTCCCTCCGTAAAATATATTTCACTTCGGAACATCAAATCTGTTGCTAACTTTGCTGAGTGTGGCCATGAGAAGGTGCGAAGTATGAAACGTGCTCGGGATATTAGAGATCAACTCGAAGGCTTGCTAGAAAGAGTTGAAATCGAGGCAGCCAGCAATCCGGATGATCACGAGGCCATAAAAAAGGCCATCACTTCAGGTACTGTACATTTCTTTCTTTGCAATATTCTAAATCAGATTCCTCTGGGCCTGTCCTCCTCCGAGTTAGTGCCTTCGTTCCGGTCAGGTGAACGGAAAAGCATTGGAGCCGCCACATCCACTGAACATCCTTGCTTTGTACAGGGTTTTTCTACCACACAGCCAAACTTCAGAAGAACGGTTCTTATCGGACCCTGAAAAACCCTCAAACGGTTACCATACATCCAAGTTCTGGCCTTTCACAGGTTTGCCTCAACTATGCTAACTTTTTTCTGGACTTTTAGAAATGACACTTTGTCTGCAATTTCGTAAGCTGAGTCGGATCATCGAAATGTGGATCATTTGAATGGCGCATTTCGTACAAACCTGACATTCGTTTGTACCCTAGACGTTATCAGAATTGTTAGCCGCCATGTCTTATGCTTCTTATTGTGCATTGTGTACCCTAGATGCTTATGTCGATGTACTTGGGGGCTTATATTCTGACATTTTTGCTTGTGTTCCCCTTCCTTAATTTCCGATTTTTGAGTGATGTCTGTGCCATAAAGCTCTGTTCTGATGTACGCAGGTCCTTCCAAGGTGGGTAGTGTACCACGAACTTGTCTTCACCACAAAAGAGTACATGCGCCAGGTAAGGTCCTCAATGAATGCTCATCGAGCAATATCTGGTATCTCGTGCACTTGGTGTTGAGCACCGAATGACAGATTGAGAAAGTCCAAGCTATCATGTTAGCCTTGAAGTTTAATATCTAGTTATTTATCTGTCTAGTGTCTTTTGAAGTAAATAAAACTGTCGTAACGTTGGAGTATCAATTACTGGAAACTGGGCTTGAATCAAATTGATGCCGGACTGAACTCGTCTTGTGGGTTGTGTAGGTCATTGAAATAAAGCCCGAGTGGCTGGTGGAAATTGCCCCACATTACTACAAGAAGTCAGACGTTGAAGATAGTAAGTACACGCAGGATTGGGCTTTGCTTAGAAGTTTTGTTTTTGACTGAGAAGACATAACGATGGTTTCGTTTTCATCTGAAGTCCTTGGCCTTTTAAGAGAAAACTGCTCCTCCTTGTAAATGCTTCTGTAGTTCCTATTCTTGTGTTTCGAGCTGGCGTTTGGACTCAAATCAAGCGGTGAAGTGACTCTTATTGACACCGGTGGGAGCTAAGGATCTTATGAGTATCTTTTGTGTTGTTTGGATGCAGCCGCTTCTCAAAAAATGCCTAAAGGAAGAGGCCGAGCAGCGATGGATTGATAAGGCCCCCCTGCTGTTAACGAGGTTTAGCGACTATCAACATTCACGATGACCTAAAGTGACGTGGAGGTGAGACTCACCAGTTCTTACGCCGAAACTGCTCATCGAGATACAATTTTGAGAGGCTTTGATAAAGGAATGGTTGCAAGTTGACTGAAAGTTGCAATGTCGACAAACTGCTGTTGATTTATTCATAGAGGGTGATATGTAAAGACTAGAATACTTTCAAACCTATTGAACATCGACTGCAGGAGGTTGGCCCGCCAATCTTGAACGCAACGTAGGGAATCACGAGCTCTGGCCTTCTGTTCATTTGGCCACATTGCATTCAGAAGGTTCACACATTGCTCAATGACCCTCAATCCATGCAATGTAGAAAAGTTCATGATATGGGAGAATCACTATGCATCCTTAAATGTGAAACGTAGTCCGCGACGTGTGGCATCCAACTCTAGTTGTAAGAATTCACTTTCACCATTTGATCAATTTTGTTCTAGGATTGCTAAACGTCCATTATGTCATTGCTTGTGTACGTCATTGAGTAGTAACTCTATACAAGTAGATTAGTTAGTGAAGTTTTTCTTCTTTGACACCTGGAATTTCCGAACGAACCTGATGTATGGGAAGGAAGCTGGCCCTAAGATCGTACTGTAGGGGATTGAAAAGGTTCTCTGCCTTCTCAAAAGTCCAAGTCCTTGTCCGCCTCCCTGTTCCTCCCAATTTTGCCTCTTGTTCCTGGTCTTTTGGTATCGGTACCGCTGATCCATAACAGGCAAAAATATCGAGGACAATTGCTGTAATGTCGGATTAAATGATAATAGTTTGACGATGTTCCTCGTCGACGAGGTTGTACTTCTGCATACAGTGTAGAGAGCCGGAAATCTCGTATCATAGTTTTGAAATGCACATGCATCGGATTTTGTTGCAACTATCCCCCGATTCACGAGAGGACCATGAAATGTCCTGGTGTGTGGAATAAGCAAATACAGCTGAATATATTGATGGAAATGTGAGCAAGTCTGATATTGCTGTGGAACACTTTTCAGATTATATTCATTGAGTGTCTTCGACGGGGAATCACCGCGTACAGCTCATGCCGAGAAATCCGGACGACTTTGCAGGCGAGTGCGAGAATCACCCTAAGGGCAGTTCTGGCACCTGGCTTATTTGGCTAGCGCATGTTCAATTCCTAGAAGAAAGGGGAAAGTGGGGGATAAGACTGGAGATTTGCCTGTAACGTTAGTCATGTTTAGTAGCCGATGGGCATGGACCTGCTCTGGAAAAGGTTGAAGATGACTATCTAGTGTCTAGGTTGGCATATGGCATATTTCCCATATTTATCCTGCTTGGAATATGATGCGGCTTCTGTTTTGCTGAAAGACTTCGTCTAGGCGTCCCCAAGCTGTTCCTGGGCCATTTCAAAAAATGAATGTCTTTGTCCAGATTTATGTCGCTGACCTTGTTATCTTCTGGTTATGTATATTCAGTTGGATTTCAAGTGAATACTTCATATATCTACATCTCCGCCCATCACAGAAGAGATAGAATTTGGATCCTGTCAGCAATTTAGCGTTGATGTACACCTGAGTTTTATTTTCGCTAAGCCTAAAGGACCGAGAGTCCGCATTCTCTTCAGTAATGAATGGACTTAGGACTTCCTGGAAATATAAGAGGCGGCTGTAGGAACAGCAAAACAATTGCGGCGATTGGTTCTTTGAAGCTGCAACAACAGTTCACTTCAAGAGAAGAGTACATATCCGATTTTTTCTGCAATCTGCCTTGGTTCAATTTTCAAATGACGCGGCTGTGTTGAGAAGCAAAAGCTCGACACATTGGAGTATCGGCCGCGTATATGCGTCGCGGAAGAAGCACGAAGTCATCAGAATACACTATGAGGACCTGACTGAGGGCCGAATGAAAGTATGTTTGTTTGACTGGACAGAATCTTTATTAAGCTTTCAGTTCCACATTTTTTTAGCACCTGGTATGTTCAGATATGACCTCGCCTCTGGAATTCTATATCAAACCTCGTATGGATGACAGAGGAGTATTGATGGAGCTAGGATCCAATTTTAGAAAAGGCGGAATTACGCACATGGACCGAAGACGTCCAAATTATCATGCCAAACTGTGTATTGAGCATCCGAGGAGTAATCTCATTCTTTCATAGGTTGTATGAGGAAGTATTCTTCATTGGACCATGGATACAAGTGTAAGAAGGAACATGGATACATGTGTAAGAAATTTATGAAGTAACCCAAAGATACTGATAATCTTTCACATAGGAAGATTCAGTTTGTGGTAGATCCTCATAGTCAGATATGACTTAAAAGCGAGTAAGACAATGATTTGAGATTATTGGAAAAACTATATACACGAAAAAGTTAGCGAAAGTATTTCATAGAGAATATTTAGTCATAATGTTTGCAGTTGTTTACAATATGTAATTTATACTTTCATTATCTTGTCACATCAAACATGACATTGTCAATTAAATTATTTATAATATTACTTACATTTATCGTGTTTATATTTCTGTCTTCTACTAACAATCTTCGCCGTTTGATTATCCCCGTCTTAGTACCAACACTTTGAAGAAATGTAAGAAATAGTAGTACAATATGTGCGATTTCCTCTTTGTAACTTAGTAGAGAGTGCTTCTTCAGAGGAATATGTGCTACACAACATTCTTTCGTTATTCACATTATTTGTGTATTACCATGAGCGGATCGATTCACCCACCTAGAAAGATTCTACGCAAATATTTATCATAGAAATTAAACAAATTAATATCTTTGACTTTCAACATATCTTCACTCACCACTTTTAAATGCAATTATCGCTACATTGGATAAATTACCCAAATGAATCGAAGAAGTTAAATTTGAAGTATAATCATTGTTCCTCTTATTGTTTGCTCTTTATTGACTACACTGAAAATAGAAGAGTATTTCGAAACATAGAATCTAGACACCAAAAGACGTAGCAATGAATCCAATCCATTAACGGAAGTTTGAGAAATTTGAAGGTCGAACAGTAAATTTTGCTTCTGCTTTCTGAGGATGTTTGCATGAAAAATTCAACAACAACAACAACTCATTATCATTCATGTAGCGTCTCGCGTACTTCAAAAGTTGTTAAACGCAGCAGGAGCGAGTCAATACTCTCATCAACCTTCCATCGATTCTGAGAATGGGAGATGCTGCTGTATCACGAGGTAAAGCTCAAGAATGACTAGAGAAAAAAAAGGGACTAAATCGATCGGGATTCTATCGGACGCATCCCTCTGCTGAAGATGGAATCGACAACAGTAGAATTCCACTGTTACCATGAGCTCCTTGCGGATTACGATCCTCGAACAATTCAAAGTCATTCATTCTCTATCTCGAAGTGTAGAAGTGGGCAAGGAGTAGTTAGCTACCTGTTGAGTACACGCCTGCAACGTGAGTACGGCATATCTGTCCAAATCAAGCTACAGGGACAGGGAAGAACCTCGAGCTGCAGAAGCTGGATATGTTCGACAACCATTCCACAGCCGGCAGTGGCTTCTACAGAATTAAAAATATGTTGCCCTGTGATCTGGAATGATGACGCAATCTGGGTGACGAAGGCATTGCAGTCGCCAAAGTTGACTCTGATGCCACCATCGAGATCGGACCCGATTTATGTTCCAGCCCAGACTCCATGGCAATTGAATGATCAGATCAGATCCAAGTTTGACCTCGGGTTAGTTGCCCCACGACTGAGTCTCCAACTCTGGTAAGAGGCAATGAAACCTCATCGTATGCTTCAGGATGAAACGAACAGGGTAAGAAGGAATTGGATTTTAGTACCAACAAAATAATGAGAAATGTTATGCATTGCAATTATAATATCCAGGAACATACGTCCGACTCTTACCATATTCATTACAGCATTGCAGAAATCATAACTTCAAGCAATTGCTCTCCCGTAGATTGCATAAGAAAGCAATCGGGCGATATAAATGATTTGAACTAACATTTTTTGATTCCGCACTTTCTCACAATATTGTCAAGTTTAAAATTCATATATTTATGTCACTGGAATCTTAGAGATGAAAACATTCATTTGCTGTATATCCATTCTCTTGTACACTTGGGTTTTTTCAGTTCACTTCTATCAATGGTAAATAGATCAAGCCCCGGGAACCCAAAGGGTCAAAAGGCTGAAAAACACAATGCAAACTATCCAACTCCAACCTAGGAGAGAACCAAAAGAATCCACTGGCTAGTGCCAAGAGCACTAGAACGTTAACTAATAACATATCTAATGTAAGAAACTAAATCATAAGACTCAAGCTGAAGCAAAGAATAAAAATTCTCAACAATAACTTTATGAGTCACTCTAATCTCTATATATCTAGTACAAGTAAGAAACACATGCTCTTCATACTCAACTTTATTCCATCACATAGTCTACAAATACGTTCACTCCTACCATGTTCAACCAACGCCATTTTTCAATTCCAAGATTATGAGATCCTGTTTTATGCCTAACAAAAATATGACGTACATATGTAGAGATCTCCGCCGCAAGTAAGTATCCTTGCTCACAATAAACAAGTATAGGATTTACATGAAGTTGATAAAACTCCATATTAGTGCCTCGTCTGCTCCAAATAATGCTAAGAAATTAGTCCTTGATACGCTCGCAAAGGGCCATAGATTGCAAATCCCAGTCGAGTTTCGTCACATTACACCTCAATGATCAAGTCACCACATCTGCAAACCATCCCTTGGGACATGTGGCAAAAAAAGATTCAAGAGGAAGTCGAAAAGCATCAAGATATCTCACTCTTTTGACGTAAGTGATGATAAAAAAAAGAGCTTTAGCCTCAGTAGGTAAACAACCTGTTTCCGCAAGAAGAATAGCATATGAAGTTTAGGTACTCACACCCAATTCTTCTTGTAAGAAGATATTTTGCTCACTCTCCAAACGCTGCCATCTTATCTTCTTACAACCAGAACCCACACTTGTGTTTCAAATAAGATAACAAGAAACACTAAGCTCGTCAATAAGAATTTTCTAAGTCACCAAGACACTATATGAGCTCCTCTACATCTATTTAGCAATGAATATATAGCTTTGAAACTAGCTTTTACTCTCTTTTGCACACAAAGTGCCCAACTATAATCGTAAAAGAAATCAATGCTTAAATATTTGTAACTCTTCATTTGTTACAATTCTAATTCTTTGTAAAAGAAAGAAAGCTTGAATCTAGTGCCCACAAGAATGACTTTTGACTTTTCCAAATTGACCTCCATCTAATTTTGAGTACAAAAGCTACGCAAAGTGTCAATGTGTTTTTGTAAACCAATGGCATCACGTGCTAGTAATATGACATCATCTGCATACAAAAGCTTTGATGACAAAGTCTCCAAGTTTGACACCTTCACTATCACAATTCTCTAACAACCTTTCTATTTCATTTGTGAAAACTCCAAAGAGAGTAGGAGAGAGAGTACAACCTTGAATGACTCTAATGGTACTCAAACTCTCTTCGGTTTGAGAAGTGTTGATCTTGGTCCGAACGGAGTGGTATAATGTGGCCATCGCTATAAGAAATCTGATGATACTACAATGATTTGCAATCTTTTTCATAAAAGCTAACGAGGTACTGTATCAAAAGCTTTCTTAAAAGCAATGAAGGCACAAAACAAAGCTTTTCCATTACCCTCGGATTTATTCTATAAAACACGCAAAACCAAAATATGGTGTATAGTGTTGAATGTAGGACAAAAACTAGCTTGAAACCGCGCTCTTTTCTGACAAGATTCAGCTCATATGCTGAACTTTGACTCCACCAATTTGCCAAATAACTTGGCAAAAATACTACCCATCATGATAGTTTGATAGTTTGTCACCAAGGCCTTGTTCCCATATTTGTGAATAGGAACAATCTTCCGTAGAGACCAAGTTGAAGGAAATCCGTAGATAGCAACATTCTCTAACTCTTTGGTGAGTATATGCCCAATAGCATCTCCTCCCCACTTGAGAAGTTCAATCTAAAGACCATCCAAATTCTCACATTTACCATTTGACAATTGCATGAGTTGAGTCATCATTTCACTTTAGAAAATAAGCCAGGTTTTACTTCACAACGTGGCATTGATGTAACATTGAGAAAAAAAGTAAAGCTTTTGAGCAAAAGAAACCAAAGACTAGGGAAGTCTTTGTAAACTCTTGTCATAATAAGCCAATTGTGAAGATCCAAGGGTTTATCAACTGATCTTGCTTGCTTGCTTGCAATCAAAGTCAACCATCCATTGTAAGGAAGAACTTTGGCTCTCATGCTCTTATGTCTCAAAAAGAACTTAGAAGCAGAGTTTTTGAGCAACTTATTTAGTTGCAAACTAGATGTATGTGGATCAAGACTCCAAGTAATACGAGTCAAGAGGTATTGTAAATGTTGACTACAAAGTTGCTTCTTACTAGCATCTAAACACAACCTGGGGAAAGTAGAAAAATACTGACATGTAGAGAGAGGAATTGACTTTGACAACAAAAGAGTAAATAAAAAAAATGTATGATCTGATTCTGGTTGAGGCTCTAGAATATCAAATGTTGAGATAAATGACCTATTAAATGGCAGAGGACAAAAGATAATCTATAGTGCTAACACTGGTAGAGGAAAAGCATGTATTGGAGTGGGAGTTAGTTAGTTAGGAAAGAAAGAAACACCATTGGGAACTTTCAGATTACATGTGGTTCCAAAAGTCAAGAGTTGCTGAGTCAAATCATTTGTAGAAGGATCAGAAGAAACTCTAGATACAAACTCTCTACTTTCTTAAAAAAGGGAAAAAACAAGAAACCATCAAATTTTGTAAATTGAGCAGAACGTAGGCGGGCATTAAAGTCTCCAACAAGAAAAACTTCACCTTTGTCTTGATATTTGAGAACATCTCCTATTAGTCGATGTAATGGTTGATTTTGATTGCAAGTGCTTGTGGAGTAGATCTGTATGATAATGGTGCAAAGTAACAAACTTCCAATAACTGTAAAATACTCCAATCAATTCAAGATGAGATCAATGATATTGTTATCCAATATCTTGGCTTTCAAAATGTAACATAGCAAGAAGTTCAGATTTGATAAAAGTAGCAATGACTCCAAAGCCTCTTCCTGCTCGTCGATCCTATGGTTCCAAGTAGATTTTACCAAAGTAAACCATTGTATCTTTCAAATAGCATTGCTCTCATGCTCCCAAGTCGCTACAATGTTGAGGATGTCTGTACTCTTTCAAATTGGATGTACACTCAGTTACTTTGTTGTAGATAGGACCCTTATGTTTCACATCAACATTCTCAACCTCTTGGATTGCTAGGGTGATGATTGTTTTCTCCTTTGAGTGATAATAGCTTCACTATCATG